CCCGCCAGTGTTCCTCTCGGCAGCCTGTGCGCTGAGCTGGTTTCTGCTAATTTCGTGATAAAGCTCCTTCGCCGCAGTGCCAGCTGCTTCCCGTAGGTCACCGTGTACAGCCCCAGCCGCCGGCCAGTGTCCGTCTCCGGCGCGAGCCACCGGGCCCTTCCCCAGGGACAGCGCCAGGGAACGCTGGGCTCCCACGCACTCAACAGGTCTCTTCGCCTCCGCCGAGGCTCCGTGTGTTTATTCCCCTCAGCCCCTCTGGCGCCTCTAGGCTTCGGCCTGGCAGCGGCAGGCTCACGGGGCTTCCCCAGGTCGGCCCCGCCAGGGGCTCCGGGTTCCACCCCTAGCGCCACCGGGCCCTTCCCCAGGGACAGCGCCAGGGAACGCTGGGCTCCCACGCACTCAACAGGTCTCTTCGCCTCCGCCGAGGCTCCGTGTGTTTATTCCCCTCAGCCCCTCTGGCGCCTCTAGGCTTCGGCCTGGCAGCGGCAGGCTCACGGGGCTTCCCCAGGTCGGCCCCGCCAGGGGCTCCGGGTTCCACCCCTAGCTAGAGCTCTGCCGGGCACCACCACTGACCACCCCTCCCGACCCCCGGCGGCCACTTGGATACGCCAGGGGCCTGTAGGGAGAATGGCTGTGGAGGCAGGCAGCGTGCGTGAGACCGGCACCGCTCGCACACGGCTTGTTTCAACCGGCAGCCTGTGGGCCGCAGCGGAGACGGGACGTCGGCTTGGAAGGGGGCAGCTCTGCTTTCAGGAGGGATGGAAAGTAAACCTAGAGTTGGGAGCCACACCGGGACCCCCGGGAGTAGCGGTGAGGGCTTAACACCCAACGAGGATTCTGCAGGGCTGGGATAGGCATGGGCCCTCTCAAACGTGTGGGGCTGGGTGCATGTGGGGCTAGGCATGGCTCCCGGGCCCTCACAAACGTGTGGGGCTGGGTGCATTCAGGGCTAGGAATGGATCCCGGGCCTTTGCAAATGTGTGGGGCTGGGTGCGTGTGGGGCTAGGCGTGGATCCCGGGCCCTCGCAGACGTGTGGGGCTGGAAGGGGAGTGTGTTTCTGGCTGGGAGCCCCGGCTGAGGGAGCAGCGTCACTGCGTGGGTCTGAGCGCTGTGCCTCATCCGACTGTCCGCAGGGGCCGTGGGGTTTGTGGCGTCTCTGCCGCTTTTTCTGCGTATAATCGAAGAGGTTTTTTTCGTCCCGGGGGAAAATGAAAAATCAGTTCGCCAGACCCCTCCCCCCAGCGGAAAGTGCTCAGCCCTCCCCAGCCGGGGCGCCGAACTGCAAGGGCGCTTCCTCACCAGGCCTGGTGCCCTTGACCCCCTGGCACTTGTGTTCAGGTGGGGTTTGTGGCGTCTCTGCCGCTTTTTCTGCGTATAATCGAAGAGGTTTTTTTCGTCCCGGGGGAAAATGAAAAATCAGTTCGCCAGACCCCTCCCCCCAGCGGAAAGTGCTCAGCCCTCCCCAGCCGGGGCGCCGAACTGCAAGGGCGCTTCCTCACCAGGCCTGGTGCCCTTGACCCCCTGGCACTTGTGTTCAGCACCCTGAGTGGAGGCTGCTGCGGGACACCGCAGGGCACCCCTGTGCCGGAGCTCCGATCCCGAGGCCCAGCTGCCTTGGCTGACGAGCAACTGCAGGTGGCCCTGGCGGGGGTTGGACCTGTGCTCCAGAGCCTGCCTGTGGTGGCGGCGAGAGGACGTGAGGTGAAGGAGATGGGGGCGGGTCCTGGTGCCATTGTGTAATCACACCCAGTGTGCAAACGGCGAGCGCCACCTGTTGGTGAAAACATAGACCCAAAAATGTGCTTGGCCATGAGTTGCTGCAATAGCATCTGCTAAAGCCACCGGGTGTCAGATCTTGCATCCACTGTCTCTCTCCCTGCTTCTCCGCCTTCCTCGCTGGACCTGGGGCTTGCCAGGTGGGCTTAGCTAGGGGTACAGCCCCTGCGGCTGGCCAGTTGCAGCTGTTCCTGTCCCGACCGGGCGCTAGCTTCTCGTCCCGCCTTTGTAACAACGTCCCCGCTGCTTTTCCAAGGTTCCCCGGTGGTTGTGCTTTTCGCTGCTCCATGCTAGAGTCGTTGCAACTTCCTTTAAGCGGAGCCTGCTCTTCATCATCCATCGTACAGCTGTCCCCTGGCGTCCCTGTCTTGGCCTGGTGCTATGGGTCACGTCCTACCGTGGCAGAATTGTGAGAGCTTCTTACTGCCCAGTGGCACTTCCTTGTCTGTCTCGTTCGTTGCAGGCGTGGCGTCTGCCTGTCGGGCGCGGTGCTGGGAGCTCTTCTGGAGGAGATAAGCGACTGACTGGCCTCTCCTTGTCCCCAGCAAATTCTCCCAAAGGTCATTCAGGCAGGATACGCCACCCTTGAGTTGCATTCCCGTCAATTCCACATAGAGTCCAACTGCCCGGCGGCCTTCAAGATCCCCAGGCTGATTGCTTCCAGTTGCTGCCCAGTCTCTGAACGGGCCATGTAATTGACAGACTCCGGGGGTGCGGCTCTCCAGGTCTAGGGTCTGGCTCTGCATTGAAGGAATAGCAGGGCTCTTCTGTCGCACCAGCAATTTTCTTAATGACTCTTCCTTGTCATTCCGTCTCCAGTTGCATATGCTCTTTCGCTGGCTCTTGCTCCCGTTAGTGGCGAGTTCTTAACGCACGCGGCAGCCGATTTTTGCCTTTCTTGACTCCCTAGGGACAGTTGTATTACTTTCAGTGTATGTTTCTTGCATTGATTCCTGGCGAGATCTTTCACGCGGCCCTGCCTTACCATCAGCCTTTATCCAACCCTAGAAGACACTCACTGTCGGTCCTCAGGACTGTTTCTGTGAACTCTTTGGAGCCACCCTCTGCTAGCACCAGAAGGCTTGAACTCTTGTTACAAACCCATTTCCGGAGCCATTGTCAGCCTCCAAGACTCTGAACTTGCCAAAAACCACAGGTTACCCCTCTGAAGGTAGGTTTTGCCACTCCATATTGGTCCAGGATCCCGCTGCTGGGAGTGGCCAACAGCGAGCTATCAGTGTTGCATTCCATGGGCAAGACCCGATACAGTCGTGTGGGGAGACACCCGTGTCCCTGGGAAAAGTGGAGACTGACCTACAGTCGCCATGCCCCCCTTCCTAGTGCCTTTGGCGCCGCTGGCTGCTCCGCAGGAGCGTTACGCGTCTTGCCAACGCTTTCTCTGGGCTTACGCCAGCCTCTGTGTTTCCTCCAGTGAGTTACTGTAGTAACAGTTATTCCGAGGATAAGCTAAGCTAAGTCGTAAGTACAAGCCTAAAATCCCGTTTCCAGTTGTGGCTCAATAACAGTGTAAGAACCATTCTCCGCGGTGGTATCTACAGACTAGCAGGGGAGCTGTTCCATTTTCTGCCCTCCCGGGAGGAAGCACCAACCCGCAGCCATTTGGAGACAACGTGTAGAGACAATATTTGTGCGTCTATTATTTCCTCACCAGGCCTTAGTGACGCGTTCTGCGGATGTTAACCGATGGATGGGGCGACTGACAATGTGAATTGTGACTAGTCTGAATGTTAAAAGCGCCAGTGTCCTGCATCCTGTTAAGGTCTAACGTTAGAGCTTCAATTTTGTATCTGCATCCGGGGATAGCCCCATCTGGACACGGGATACAAAGCAGCTATCCGCATGTTAGCTGAGTGCTAGGTAAGCATTTCTGTAGCCGCGGATAGAGCCCAACAAATCCGCAGGTATCTCTTACGTCTGTAAC